GTGTCCCTGCTGACGAGGGCCACACCCCTTCGGGGCCCCGGGTTCCCAGCCAGAAGGGTGGTGATTACCAAGAGCACTACACTAGGAGTCAACATTCCCAGGAAGGAATTTGGGTTGGGCCATGCACGTGCTGAGTGACTGGAGCTGGGTTATTCCCCTCCCGAGTCTCCATTTTCTCAGCAGTAAAATGAGGATGACAACACCCTCCCACTTCACCGGGCCTTGGGGACTGCTGGGAACAGGGATGCTGGGAACAGACTCCCAGTGCGGTCTCTTTCTGCACCCCTTTGCTCCCCCGCCACATGACCTCAGCATATCAGGGGCTCCAGAAGGCCTCCCCGCCAACGGCTGGATAACCCCCCAGGAGAGAGACCCTCACCGACCAACCAGTTAGGAGTTGGCCAGTTCCTAACAAGCTGGAGAAGGGTGGGCAGCCCCCAGGTTGACCCATTCCCAACACACCATCACCAGAGTCCTTCCCAGGTGGCAACAACCCCTCTTGTGGCCCCATGGCCCCACCGCTTGCTCCGGGGTGCTCAAGTGGAAACCTCAAGCCAACTGGTTTTTCCGCTTGCTCCCAGGCCCTAACCAGCCACGTGATGGGGCTTTGGCCCAGGTCTCAGGAATGTCTCCAGACTGCTTCTGCCACAGACCCAGGGCTCTGAGCACATGGTCCAGGGTCGTGGGCCAGGCTCAGGTTCCCTGGCTAGATAGGAGGCTGGGGCGGATGTGGGGGGGTGGTTTGAAACCACATTTGAAATACTACCCTTCTGAATCACCAACATTATGTCAATCCCCTGCCCCTCCATCCACCAATTCTAGAAAAACACCCTGCTTGATGTCTCCTCCAAGGACCCCTCCCATGCCTTGGACCAGCCCCCATCCAGGACTCAAATGTCCTCATCACTCCCCAAATGACTATGCTGGCAACAAATCATCGCACCACCTGGCGTGCTTAGCGTCCCCAGTGACTTCAAAGCCCTCGAATTAGAACAAAACAACTGCCATTCCCCAGGCTGACTCAAGGTGGGAGCCATTTTATTGGGCAAGGTATTTATTACACCTTGAAGCTCAGATGCATCCTACTGGTCTTGACTCCATCAGGCCTGCCCTGAAGGGGGAGAGGCCTGGCTGGTCCAGATGTCATCTCCTGGAAGGGGCACTGACCCAGCCACTAGGTGAACCTTCACCTAAGCCTCAGCTAGTGCCCTGAATCTCTTCACAATCATTCAGTAAAATGATTATTATTGCCCTTTGCACCAGATAAATAAAACATGTCTCCAGTCCGCCAGGAGCTCCCAGACTATGGTGGACACAGAGAAAGCCAGCTCTATTAATACGAGACAGTAGGCTCCTGACAAATGCTTTGAGAACATGGGGTAGAAGAGATTAGTTTCACCTGGGGAAATCCAGGAAGGCTTTTGAGGAGGTGGCAGTTCTCCTGGACCTTTAAAGTTGCACGGGCCTTGGGCCACGGGCTATATGGAAGGCGCCAGCAGAGGGAGTCCTGGGGTTAAAAAACCAAAAGGGAGGTGTGCAAAGGCAGTTCTCTGGTTGGGAAGTAAGAGAATGGGTAGCATGGGTGCAAAAGCAGGTAAGGTGGGGAGGTGGGTACCGACCACGGAGGCAACTCCCAGCTTTAGAAATGGGGAATCCCTTAAGGGCTCTGAGCTAAATGCTGTAAAAGGAGCAGCTACTCTTGTAACTGCTGAAGGATGTACTGTAGTGGAAGCCGGCTGAGACCTGAGACAATGCCACTGCCACCACTAACCCAGGCTGGGGACAGAAACTGGCAGCCGGTCAGGCTTCCAGACGGAGGCTATTTCTCAGCAGGATGTGCTGAGTTCTGAGGGTGGGAGGATCCTTTATTTCTCTGCTGATAAAGAAGAGTGAGCACATCTGATCCATTTCAGCTCAAAGCAGCAAACACCTTCCCGGACAAACATCTGGCCTCCCATCTTGACTCGAATCAAGAATGGCAACCAAAAAAAAAAAAAAAAAGGTCAGATCAGACAGCGATTCTGGTTCTGCTTCTTGTACAAGCCATTTGCCTCAGTTTCCCCATCTGTAAAGGGCAGGCGTGGAGGGTGGTTGGAGATGAGCTCTCTAGAGTTGAGGACTTCAGGACAGGCAAGAGGGGCACCACCCTGCCTGCCTGGGCCCCCGGCTGTGGAGCACGGCGCCTCCATGCTGGCGCCCCGACGACGGGAGCCACTCCTGGCGTCTCTCCGCGCCCGCCCGCGGCACTGAAAGTATGGCACCCACCCAAGGCGGTGCGTGGGGGCAGAGGGGCAGGCCAGGTGCGGGGCGGGCGCTGATCAAGGCAGGGCCTCCTCGCTTTGCCAAGGACGTGTCCCGCGGGCCGCCCAAAACTAGCGCCTCACATCCAGGACGTTCCGAGCCGCGAGGACTCCCAAGCCACAAGACCCTGACTCTCCACGAGGATTCGACGCCGGAAGGGGCTGGGCGGAGCTTCGCGAGGGGCGTAACCAGGGACATTCGGCGGCTCCGCCTGGGGCGTGGCCAGGGGTGGCTCTCCCGCCTCACGGCGCGGAGGCTGAGGGGGTTGCGTAATGACGCAAGGGGCGGAACGGGGAGGGGGAACAGACCGCACTCTGGGATTACGTAAGGAAACGAAGGCGAGGGCGGGGAAGTCCGCGCTAGTGGGCGGGGCAGAGGGCGGAGCTGCAATCGGAACTGGGCGGGGTACTGAGAGAAGGCGCGGGGGCGGAGCGAAGGGACAGGACGTGGTGCGCGCCGGGTAGCTGTTCCCGGGCATGCTCCGCTGGACCCGCCCCTGGAGGCTCCCCTTTAGGGGACTCGGCCCCTGCTGTCTCAGCTCCTCCAGGGTGCCCGTCGCACCCAGCAGCAGTGGCCGAAGCGGCGCCGAGCCGAGGTCAGTCAAGGGCGCCATGTGGGAGGCCGTCCAGCGCTCCTCCCCGTTCAGTCGGGCCGCAATGGCCCCGCCTCCTCCGCTTGCGCCCGCCCCCGCCCAGGCCGCTCCCCTGAACCCCTTCCCAAGCCGGCTTAGATCCCTCCTCCATCCTTGCGCCTCCCTCCAGGTCGGTACTGCTTTCCTACAAGCTTCTGGACGGAGAGGCGACCCGCCCGGCCCTAGTGTTCCTGCACGGGCTCTTCGGCTCCAAAACCAACTTTAACTCCATCGCCAAGGCCCTGGCCCAGCAGACTGGCCGAAGGGTGAGCTTCCGGGAGAGGCGGGGTCCGGCCGGAGGTGGGGCCTAGCTGGGCGGGACTAGGAGGAGGCCGAGGTGGGGCCCGCTTTCTCGGCCCTCAGGACACGACACCTGCCGGGGAGTGGCTGGTCTCTCTAAGCGGAAATGAGGAAGAGGTTGACCGTCTAAGGATGGAGGCCACATGGCACACCGTGGCCCTCGGTGGACCCCATTCATTCTCTCGTGCTTGCATCCATCCAGTCCTTCATTCGTGTTACAGATGCCCATGTGCGTGCTCCCCCACTGAGCTTAGGCTCGGCTGTCCAAGGCCTAAGCGCCAACACCCTTTCCCCGTTAAGGTCTGAGAACTGGGCCCTGTCACCATCGGGGCCCTTTTTCCACTTCAGGATCTTTCCCCAGGCTCTCTACCCCCCTTCAGCCTGCAGGAATGCCATGCCTTAGGCTGTCTATGCCCTGAATGTGGATGCCAGCTCTGCCGGCCCTCTCTCCACTCTGCAGGTGCTTACGGTGGATGCTCGGAACCATGGTGACAGCCCCCACAGCCCAGACATGAGCTACGAGGCCATGAGCCAGGACCTGCAGGACCTCCTGCCCCAGCTGGGCCTCATGCCCTGCGTCCTCATTGGCCACAGCATGGGAGGCAAGACAGCCATGCTGCTGGCGCTCCAGAGGGTGAGCCTTCCCTATACGGGGCTTCCTCCCATCCACTGTGGACCCTGAGTACCCAGCAGTTGACCTGGGACTCAGTCAAGCCTTGGATGGCCAAGTTCAGGATCTGGGAACTCTGCCTGAGACCCAGTATGCCTGCCGTAAGGCCCAGTCCCAAGCCTGGTTCTCTCACACAGCCAGAGATGGTAGAACGCCTGATTGCTGTCGACATCAGCCCAGTGGAGACCACCCCAAGCTCGAACTTCCCATCCTACATGGCGGCCATGAGGGCTGTAGACATCCCAGATGAGATGCCCCGCTCCTCTGCCCGAAAACTGGCCGACGAGCAGCTCAGCACCGTTATCCAAGTAACACACCCATGCTCGGATGGTGTCGTGGGCTGGAACCTGTCAAGGGAAGAGCGGCAGCCCCAGACCTCACACAGAGGCTTCCCTCCCCCAACTACTGCACCCCCCCCCACAGGACATGGCCGAGCGTCAGTTCTTGCTCACTAACCTGGTAGAGGTGGATGGGCGCTTCGTGTGGAGGGTGAACTTGGAAGCACTGGCCCAGCACATGGACAAGATCTTGGCTTTCCCACCACGACAAGAATCTTACCCTGGGCCAACCCTCTTCCTCCTAGGTGGAAACTCTCAATATGTGCGGTAAGCCAGTTTTACTGGTGGTGGTGGGAGGGGCCCCAGCCTGGGGATCCCACTTTGGGGAGGGCTTGGGTGTGGGCGGGTTTTGCCTGAGAATGCAGAAACACCACGGGGCGCATGTGGGCTCATGTAGCTCTCTTCTCCCTGCTCTGCTTCCACTTCTCTCTCTCTCCCCATCCTCCCACTCTGACCCCCTCGGCGGACCCCTGCTGCGCGGTCTTCTCTTCGACGGACAGCCCCAGCCACCACACGGAGATTAGGCGGCTCTTCCCTCGAGCCCAGATGCAGACCGTGCCCCATGCTGGCCACTGGATCCACGCCGACTGCCCCCAGGACTTTGTGGCTGCCATCCAAGGCTTCCTGGCCTAAGAGTTGCTGGCAAGAGGGGGCAGGAAACCCCAGGCTTCCAGGCCCTGCAGCCCACTCCATGTTTCTGCACAAAAGGACTCAGGCGGGCATGAGACAGCATGAGGGTGCAGAGATGGTCAGACCTCAAGCTTTAATGAATAAAGACACTGCTCCCAAGGTCCTGGGCTGAGCTCTGTCACCACCAGCGTCCCCACCGACCCAGGGGGAATCGGACCCAGGGGGCCCTGGCTGTTCGGGGGTCCACGGGGGCGCCCAGAGAGCCCCTGGCCTCTCTCTGCAGCTGCCTCTCGACCCGCTGCCTCACCAGCTGCTGCATGTCCTCCTGGGGGCAGGAGAGCAGGTTCAGGGCCAACCCTGTGCCCTTCTCCTTCTCTCCATGCCTCCCCGGCCCAGCTGGCATTCCCACGCTACCTCCCAGGCCTCCACCTCCTGCCTCAGCCTCAGTTTCTCCTCCAGGACCTCCAGTAGCTGGGCCTCCACAGCACGCAACTTGGCTTTGCATGTGTCCAGCTCGGCCTCCAATGCTTGCTTCCTGCAGGTGGTGGGGAGAGCAGCTTGGACCCCGCACATCTGCTGTCTGGCCACAGCCCCCGCCTTGTGACAGGGTGAGAGTTTATGCGGCTTTCCCTACAGGAATACTTGACTTCTCACCTCTTCTCCTCTAGCAGGACAGAGCCCTGAGGGTGAGCCACCCACTGCCCTCCCAGCCCCCACCAGCATCTGCCTCTCACTTGGCAATGGCTTCATCCCGCTCCTGGAGGACTTGGTCCAGCGAGGGCTCTGTCTGGGCGTCCCCCAGTGCTCCAGCCACTTGGGATGCTGGGCCTGTTGTAGGGTGACAGAGAAGGGAGCAGGGATTAGAGCTTGTCTAGATGAGGTGTCCCTCTTCTGGGCCCTTCTGCTCTTCCCTTTTGGCTCTGATGCTAATGTCAGCAGGGGAGGGGTCTGGAAAGCTCTGTTCCCGCCCCCCAGTACCCATCTCCTGGACCTCTGAAAGTAGAGCAGGGGCACTGTGCCATGCTGAGGGGTTGGCAGGTGTGGCCTCTGCCTGGGACAAGGGTAAACAGAGGGGACAGGGCGTGTGGACCCTCAAGGAGGAAAGAAGTTCTCAGCTAAGCCACAGGAAAGAGACAAGGTGGGTTTCACAAGGACACTTACCCCTCTAGGGCCCCGGACAGAGAGGGTGGCCTGGTGACTGGGACTCTTGTCAGTGGGGTGGGGCAGGCAGACAACATAGCCCTTTGCCCTCCCTTCCGGACTAGGCACTCCCTGTCAGGCTCCGCCCCTGACTGGCTGGCCAGGCCCCTGCCTCCCCTCCTGGATCCTGGAACCCTCCTGCCGTGCCCAGAGCTTCCTCAGCCCCATTCCTGCACCGTCACACCTGTCCCTCACCCCAAGGGGGCGCTCTACCCACGTCAAGAGATGAGAAGGGAGGGACAGAGCCAGGCCCATCTTCAATGCTGGACAGGTAGTCTAGGTAGCTCACGCCTCCTCCCCGCCCCCCCCCCCAGTGCGTTCATTGAGCACACCAGTGACATCAAAGGTATAAAAGAGAATTTTCCCCATTGAGAAGCCTCTTTGGCAAGGTCATGTCTGGGGGATTAGATCTTCAACTCTGCCCTAAACCGTAAATATTTCTCCCAGGAAACCCTGGCAGAGATGCCTCCTGTTTGCCCATGGGTGCCACTGAGGCACGGGTACCTCCAAGAGCCAGACCAACAATTTCTTTGGTTGAGCCCCCGGTGAAGAGGTGGAGTTGAACCGTACCCCCAAATACACCCTTTTGTCGAGGAGATTGATTGTGTTTTGAGAGGCTGATCTGTGCCATGATCCTGACAGGGCCCAGGGACGTGGTCTCAGGGACCTCTGAGGCCAGGAGGAATGAAGCATAGATCTAATCAGAAAAGAGTGGCGGGGGGTCCAGGAACAGCGGGAGCACAAAGGAAGTCACAGGAGGTCACACCCCGTCTGTCATAGGAAGTTCCCTAGGACCATGTCCAAAATGAACCCTGCAGGCCAGCAGGAGTCAGGAGAAAGTCATTTCTTTTAGCTTTTTATTTCGAAACAATTTCAAAACTGCTCTTCAGTGTCCAAAAAAATATCCTTTTAGGGTAAAAAAAAAAAAAATCGAATATGGTATCAAACGTACCCAGTCGTCACATCTCCCTGGTCCCCCTCGGTCTGGAACAATTTGCAGCCTGTCTTTGGATTTCATGGCCTTGACATTTAGAAGATTACAGGGAAGTTATTTTGTAGACCATCCTCCAATTTGGGCTTGTCCACGCCTTCCTTTGTGATTAGACCACTGTTACCCATTTTGGGCAGAGACATCACAGAAAGGATGTTACGTTCTCCTATCTGATGTTTGGAGCCATGACTGGTGGGATCAATGCTGATCACCTGACCGTGATTAATAAGCACCGGGGAAGGGAAGTATTTTGAGACTATGACCCATCCTTTCCTTTACCCCACTTTCACCCATAGGGGTCAGCATCCATCGATGTTTCTTGCCCAGATTAATTGCTACTACAATGATTCGCAAATGGGGGCGCCTGGGTGGCTCAGTCGGTTAAGCGTCTGACTCTTGATTTCAGCTCAGTTCATGATCTCAGGGTCCTGGGATGGAGCCCCGTGTTGGGCTTGGGCTGAGTACGGAGCCTGCTTAAGATTCTCTCTCTCCTGGGCACCAGGGTGGCTCAGTTGGTTAAACGTCTGCCTTCGGCCCAGGTCATGATCCCAGAGTCCTGGGATCGAGTCCCACGTCGGGCTCCCTGCTCAGCAGGGAGCCTGCTTCTCCCTCTGCCCTTCCCCCCTGCTCACGATCTCTCTCTCTGTCAAATAAATAAAATCTTAAAAAAAAAAAAATTCTCTCTCCCTCTCCCCCTCCTCCCCCACCCCATTCTCGCTCGTTCACTCTCAAAAAACCAAATAAAATAAAAATCCTGTAAAATAAAAAGACCTGTGTGTTAGGCATGTTCATTGCAATTAGGTTAACATACATTTATATTATGTTTATTTCTTTATCTGTGTGATCATTAAATTTGTGTCAACTGGGCCATGGGATGCTCAGCTATCTGGTTAAACATTATTTCTTAGTATTGTCTCTGGAAGAGGTTAGCATTTGACTCGGTGCAGAGAGTAAAGCAGATAGTGCCCCCGGATGTGGGTGGGCATCATCCAATCCGTGGAGGGCTTGAATAAAACAAAAGGCAGAAGAAAGGTCGAATCCTCTCTCTCTTCCTGACTGCTCGGGCTGGAATATGGGTCTTCTGCCCTACTGACACCGTCGGTGCTCCTAGCTACACCAGCTTTCTGACCCTCTAGCTTGCAGACAGGAGATCATGGGAACCTCTTTCCCAGGGGGTGCCTGGGTGGCTTAGTCTGTTAAGCCACCTCTCTTGCTTTTGGCTCAGGTCCTGATTTCATGGGTTTTGGGATTGAGTCCCACGTTGTCAGGCTCTGTGCTCAGCGGGGAATCTGCTTGAAAGACTCTCCCTCTGCCCTTCCCCCCCCCCCCCCGCCACACTCCATGCTCTCTCTCTCTCAAAATAAATCTTGAGAAAAAAATAAAAGCCTCTTTCCCAGTGTTCATCCTAGTGGGTGTGGTTCTCTAGGGAACCCTAACTAATAGAATTTACATATATTAAGAAAAAGTTCACTATTAGACCTGAATTCCTATCCACCAGCACAGGCTCATCCTAGCTTTTCCCCGTTGCATATTTTACTCCCTTTTTCCAATTGTCTTCAGTGCATTTCATAGTTAGTTCAGTCTTCCTGTGTGTAGCTAACCCCCTAAAACAATGGGGCTCCCCCTGACGCAGATGCCCTTATGGGGGCTTGGCTCCTGTGGGGACCATCTCCCCACACCCTCAACTCCAATACCATCCTCATGCGTGGCCCTGGCTGCCACTGGGCTGTCAAATGTCTAAGAGCTTTACAGTCATTAAGTGATTCATTCATTCCACAAATATTTACTGAGCACCTCCTATGTTCTAGGCATGTTTCCAGGTGGTGGACATAAAACAGGAAGACAAAATTCCCTGACCTCACCGAGCTCACATTCTAGTGAAAGCGGATAGACCATAAACAAAGGAGTGAGTATACCAGGCGGTAAGAAATGCTGTGGAGAAAAAGAAAGCGGGGAAAGACAAGGGGGACCGGGAGATCGCTATTTTATATTATTCTGCACTACCTTACGGAGATCCCAAATGTTAACCTACCACTTAGATGAAAAACACCCACTCTCTCATGACTTGGAATAACGTTTTCAGTGACTGCATCATTCATGCATTCGACAAGTTCTGTAAGTCCCAGCACAAGCGAAGATGTGTTCGAGAAAACCATGGTAGGGAACTCAAAGGAGATGCTCCGGGTGACACGCGACATGACAAAGAAAGGCAGGGATGCAAGTGAAGGGTTTGAATGAATGCTCACAAACCCCGAGAATAGAAAATAATTGTTTTGAAATAAACTTATTCTTAAAAACACGTGATTTAAGATACTTAACTGTTAAATATTTTAACTCAGTATAACCAGGAAGTCACTAATTTCACCTGCATCCCTAAATGTTTAAACTGGAATATTGGGCCAAATTTCTTTTAAATTTTCTCATTGGGAAAAGGAGGGAATCACCTTATATTCAGGTGTACAGCCGATTCCATCAAAGCCCTACCTCAAACATCACACACTGAGCAGTGGGGCTCATGCCCCAGCTGCCCACCGTCCAATCTCGCTCCTCCCCTGCTTCCCCAGGATGGCTGAGCTCAGGCCTCAGGGCTGAGCTGGAAGATGGACAAAGTTGATGGTGTGCTGGGGTGGTGAGGCTGGAAGTGGGAAAGAGAGCTGCCGGCGGGGCAGGGGGCAGGGTTTTGTGGTCAAAAGAGCTGGGATGTGCAGGGCTGGGGACTTCTAACTATGTGATCTTGTTTGTGCTTACCTCCCTGAACCTTATTGTCCTCATCTGTTACATGGAACTAATGGGGCATCTCCCCAGTAGGGTCACAGGAAAGCTAAGTAAGGTACATCACACAATGACCAGTGCTTTGCATAATAATGGACCAGGGCCAGACATGCCAGGAAAGGAGAGAAAGCCTGCTAGAAAGCAACAGAAAAGAAAAACGGGAGAACGTCGTCAACAACAACAACAACAACAACAACAACAACAACATACACACACACACAACACACACACTCCCTTTATATCAGCAGCCCCTTCCTGCTCTGCAACCTCCGTGGACTCCGCCCCAGGGACACTTCTGTTCCTAAATTCTACACAAGCTGCCTCCTCATCCTCCTGCAGACCCCCTACAGCCTCTGCACTTCCCCGTCATTGTCTTGTCACTGTCCAGGTGTCTCTCCCACCAGCCTGAGGGCTTCTGGAGGACAGGTGGTGACTCATCATCCCAACCTGGGCACGCAGGTGCTCAGCGGTAATGGTGCCAGGGAAGCAGCACCGGCCATGACCAGCAGGTGGCAGCAGTTCCTAACCTCAAGGATCCGGTGGGCAAGGGGCCCACGCCCCGCCCTCCCAGCCTGCGGGATGGAAACCCCAAACTGTCCCCAGGGGCTCTGAGAGCACCCAAATGCCCAGCGTTTCCCTCAGTGCTCCTTTATAGGAACCGTGCTCATTCAAATGTGCAATGATTTATCACTCATTCCACAAACCTGCTTTCTGTGCCAGCCTTGGGAAAGACACAAGAACGTGACCTGGTTCCTTCCCTTCAGATGTCCCCATCCAATGAGGGGACAGACACTTAACACAGACCGTAGCCACACAGGACGAATAAGTGCTACAATCTGGATAAATACAGGTCTTTGTGGGACCACACAGGAGCCCAGCCCTCATTGTTGGGCGGTCAGGGATGAATTCTGGGAGGAGGTGATGTCCACTAGGGAAGGAGTGAAAGTCAAGGGCCAGGTCCCTGGGGAGGAGGAAGGATACAGGGAGGAGAATGTCCCAGGCCTGGGGAACTAAGCAAGTGCAGAGTCCTCAGAGGAGGGTGCCCAGTGGGCATCGGGCATCGTGGCTGCGTCAAGGGAAGGTGGCCTCCAGGAGGTGACACAGGGCTGGACCACAAAGGAAATAGAAATCTCTATTAGGGTATCAGGATTCTCCTCCTGGGGCAGTAGGGAAACCTCACTGCCCAGAACAAGTAGAGTACAGGATACCACAGAGATGCTCCTTTGACTAAAGTGGGGACAGGGCTTTACAGGGCATTGGTCTGGACAGAATATCCATCAATTATTAACATTAAAGAATGGGGTGGGGCACCTGGGGGGCTCAGTCGGTTAAGTGTCCTACTCTTGATCTCAGCGTTGTGAGTTCAAGCCCTGCACTGGGCTCCACGCTGGTAGTAGAGCCTACTTAAAAAAAAAAAAAAAGAATGGGCTAGGAATGATGTGTGTTATGGGGACTGCCTTGTTCCCACGGGGAATAAGACCTGCTCTCTCACGATCCC